AATAAAACATGAAGAAATATTAAAAAATAATTGGCTAAGGCTATGAAAAACACCAGTAAAGTCAATTTTTTTAACAAAAAAATTTTTAAGTTACAAATCAAACGTCGTTTGTAATTAAACGGCCTACAATAACGCAAAACGTGCTGAAATAAACCATCTGGAGAATATATTTTTCTTTCTGAAACGCTAATTAATTTTTACAAATGTTTAAGTAGTTCAGTAAAAAATGCACTTATGCGGCAGAAAAGCGGTACTGGCGTGGGTGCCTACAGGCCTCTACCACACCATTCAGTGCCCATAAATGGCTTAGTTATAGTGATATAATAACATTTTTGGTACATTATATTGGTTTTATTAACGAACAAATATTAATGCAATAATTTAATAGTAAAAAAAAAATTTAAATTAAAAAAAAAATTTATTATTATTTTTTTAAATTTTAACCTCCTTTATTCTATACGTAGGTCGTTTAAGAATACCTCAATTGTAAAAATGGTATAATTATAATAATAAAACTTAATTAAAAAATATTTTGCTAAATATCTTGATTTTTTTTTATTTAACGTTTGCAATTTAACACTGTGTTTTGAATATTTACTGATTCTTAGAAGTAATTAAAATTTTTATATACTTCCCAGGAAATGAGTCATATTCATACCTTTTTTATAAACTAAAATAATATATACCTAATCTGAACTATATATAATGAATAGCAACCGGTTTCTTTAGTAAAACTCATATATCACTAATTAAAAAATTAATTTTTATTTCCTCTATTTTGTGCAGAAGTTGGACTATATCATAAATAAATAGGAAATTTTAATATTGAATGAATTATTCTCTATGCACAAAGAAATATATAAAGGGTGACCCTATAAGTTCTTCTATAAACCAAAACTGATTGTTTGGATTTGATCTCAAAATGAGGAAAAACGTGAACTTAAACGAGAAAATTGGAAAAATACATTAAACGAACGAGAAAGGAAGTGCCAAAACCTCGGAATAGATAAAAAGGACCAGTTATATCCATTATATAGCTAAATGAATGTATAGTAGATAGATGAACAGAATATTTCAAGATGCTGCTAAAACGGGATCAATTGCAGTATGGATGATATTAAGTGGACGATGTAGGTTTATTATGGTGAAAACCACTTTATTTTCGATTGCTGAAGGTGCACATCGGGACTATATTAACTTTGAAGATGAATATAGAGATGTACATCGAGAAAGTTATAGCTCATAGCTTTCCTTCTGTTTAGTGGATTTTCAAAAGATTTTTTAAGGTATCTTATATTAGTTGTAGCTCGTTATTCTTCTCGTTATTCTTGAATTGTTCGGAATTTGTACCATATCATAAAAAAATAGGAAATTTTAATATTGAATGTATTATTCTCTCTGCACAAAGAAAGATGGAAAGGGCGAAACCGAACTGCTTTGACAGTTTTGCGCGTACATAGGCAACAAGCATATTAGAAAATAATATGAAAGGACTGTGGTTTTTACCTTTACATGAAAGGAGGTACTAGGAAATGTAATACCCATCAAGACCCATTCCTGTTTAGTGTACCAAACAAATTATACACAAGAATCGTAGAAGCTGGAATAAGAAATATTGTCGATTGCCAGAGTGATATGGATTGAGAAACTCAAGTTGCCCATTGGAAGAGAAGTTGAAAATTGGGACTGTCTTCACTTTACGGCAGGTTATAGAGAAGTCCACATAAAAAGAAAAATAGCTCTCTATCTGCTCAGTGCCTCACACTTTGGATTATGCTAATATCTAACTGTCTTTCAGAAAAACTCGTTTTCCTTTTAGATCCCTTAAAAAATCTTTTGAAAATCCACTAAACAGAAGGAAAGCTATGAGCTATAACTTTCTCGATATACCTCTCTATATCCTGCTTCAAAGTTAATATAGTCCCGATGTGCACCTTCAGCAATCGAAAATAAAGTGGTTTTCACCATAATAAACCTACATCGTCCACTTAATATCATCCAAACTGCAATTGATCCCGTTTTAGCAGCATCTTGAAATATTCTGTTCATCTATCTACTATACATTCATTTAGCTATATAATGGATACAGGTCCATTTTATCTATTCCGAGGTTTTGGCACTTCCTTTCTCGTTCGTTTAATGTATTTTTCCAATTTTCTCGTTTAAGTTCACGTTTTTCCTCATTTTGAGATCAAATCCAAACAATCAGTTTTGGTTTATAGAAGAACTTATAGGGTCACCCTTTATATATTTCTTTGTGCATAGAGAATAATTCATTCAATATTAAAATTTCCTATTTATTTATGATATAGTCCAACTTCTGCACAAAATAGAGGAAATAAAAATTAATTTTTTAATTAGTGATATATGAGTTTTACTAAAGAAACCGGTTGCTATTCATTATATATAGTTCAGATTAGGTATATATTATTTTAGTTTATAAAAAAGGTATGAATATGACTCATTTCCTGGGAAGTATATAAAAATTTTAATTACTTCTAAGAATCAGTAAATATTCAAAACACAGTGTTAAATTGCAAACGTTAAATAAAAAAAAATCAAGATATTTAGCAAAATATTTTTTAATTAAGTTTTATTATTATAATTATACCATTTTTACAATTGAGGTATTCTTAAACGACCTACGTATAGAATAAAGGAGGTTAAAATTTAAAAAAATAATAATAAATTTTTTTTTAAATTAAAATTTTTTTTTTACTATTAAATTATTGCATTAATATTTGTTCGTTAATAAAACCAATATAATGTACCAAAAATGTTATTATATCACTATAACTAAGCCATTTATGGGCACTGAATGGTGTGGTAGAGGCCTGTAGGCACCCACGCCAGTACCGCTTTTCTGCCGCATAAGTGCATTTTTTACGGAACTACTTAAACATTTGTAAAAATTAATTAGCGTTTCAGAAAGAGAAATATATTCTCCAGATGGTTTATTTCAGCACGTTTTGCGTTATTGTAGGCCGTTTAATTACAAACGACGTTTGATTTGTAACTTAAAAATTTTTTTGTTAAAAAAATTGACTTTACTGGTGTTTTTCATAGCCTTAGCCAATTATTTTTTAATATTTCTTCATGTTTTATTATTCTATAACTATTCAGCTTTAATAAAAGACCAACTATGAGGAAATTAAGCTTAATGCTGATTCTCAGTGACCAAAAAACTAACTAAAGTCAAAGTCGTCAATCCGCCATCTTTGGACGCCATTTTGGGGCAGTGCGTTCACTTTTTTTTGTGGGAACATTGGCTTTTTTTTAATAAATTGTTACAAGGAACACAACGATATGCAATTTATAGGGATGTGGGGGGGGGGGGGGTGCACGGTAAGGGGGTCTGGCCCACAGACTATAATCTTCATACCTGGTTGTAAGAAATTCCATTGCTTCAATCTTGAGCCCAAAAGTTCTGCTTTCTCTTTGGACATATCCAGGTCCTGAATCAAGTCACTGAGTTCAGCTTGAGTAAGTAAGTGAGGTTTTCGTTGTTGTTCGAAAGAAAAATCAGAATCATCTGATGTGGTTCGAGACATTCCATGATGAAGAGGAGGGAGGGGTCATGCAACAGTAACAGTTGTCAGTGTAATTAGTAGGCTCCCTCCATACTATGGGAACAGTAAAACTCATTGAACAACCTTTCTTGATCAACCATTCTCTTAAGCTTAAGATATAAGTGATGCAGCAGATAAGGGGGGAGGGGGGGCACGGTATTTCTTACCCACCAACCTTCATCCCAAAATACTTGTGGTATGCTTTCTTGATCATTTGGGTGATAGGATGTTTTTGACTTGCAAAGGTTACTTCCCCACAAATGTAGCAAAAGTTGTCAGGAGCATTAACATACTTCCTGGGCATTGTGGCTTCACCAAAACTACTGGGTGGAAAAATCACTTCAAGAGTAACTTGAAATGTAAACACTGCATACAACTGTCAGCAAAATGTTCTGTGATTCACAGCTGGTCATTTCCTGCAATTCACAGACAGAGATCAATCCTAACAACCTAGGATCAGGAAATTTACCCATATTATGCAAATAGTTACTATATCTTTGAAACTAGAGCTAACTGATGATTTTTATGTGGAAATTCGAATTTCTCACACCATAAAATAAAACATGGAATGAGGCTGTTTTCAAGTGAGATACGATATCAATGTAGAACAGTTAAATTAGCTATAAACAAAATATTATGCATGTTGTTGTTTTTTTTTTTTTAATTTTCAAGACCTACCAATTTGAGCTTTAAAACCTCTATAGTGTGCTTCCTGTTCAGTTTAGAGAAAAATCTTTCCTCCAAAAACGTTAAGCTGTTTAACATTGAATGCAAACATTTTTTGGCTTAATCACTTTAAAAAAGAGATGTTTAGTGTAAACCAAAAAATGTTAACAAATTCAATGCATTTTAGAGCGCTGCAGTGAACCAGAAGGTATTTCAATGTTTAAAACCTGAATTTTTTATATTCATTATTTTTTACCTAACAGTTTAACTGATATTTTGAGTTACCTGACCTTTTGTAGGGTAGACTCCTTTTTTTTTGTGCTGATTAGACTGGGCTAGTTGTATTGTCTTGGTAGAAAGAACATTTTTTCAGTTTAAGCTTCTTATTTAGCAAAAAACAGGACTTATTTAAAAAACAAAATAAAAAAGCTTGTCTTTGTTGCTTTTTTGCTTGCAAGTATCGGACCATATCATGTATAAAATTATTTATTGCTCTTGTAGTCTACTCTGTATATCCTGACCAATATAATAAACTTATTGTCTGACCATTCAGACAACCATTTGCCATATAGCCTTCAACATTGCCTGACTGATGAATGCCCTGAGGGAGACCTACGTCATAGGTCAAAACGTTGAACAATATAATAAAACATACTATTATATAATGTAGTATTTTTTTTTTTTTACCGTACTCCCTACTAATTTCTTGTGAAAAATTAAAAACTTATATTTTCTCCGTCATCTTGTTTAATTTGTCATTAAAAATTTATAAACTATCTAAATAAAAAATAAATGCAATTACATACTCTGAACTAGATAGTTGAACCCCCTACATAAGTGTTTGGTGTATTCTTGCTTTACTAAGAGAATGAAAGAGCTGTTCACTTGAAAATTGTCTAAAAGATCTCTACTAATTTGTGCCTATTTGGTTTTATGTATTCAGTATTAATACTGCTCCAAAATATGAGTGTATTATTATGATTTTCTTTATAAATAAATGAAATTTATTTTTTTAAGGTATACTTTACAATATTTGTTGCATGGAGATTGGACCCGGCTGGAGGCTTCATTGAGAGCGAAGTTTACTGTTGTTTTGCACAAAGTGTTGTTGGTATTATCGAAGACTGATGAAGAGACATTGAGGAAATGTAAACTTTTAATCAAATTAGTTCATGAACCTTGGAAAAATTCAACCCTGCACAAAATACTGCACAGCCAATCTCCTTCAGATAACGAAGGTATTTATTTGAAAATATTCAGTTAAACCTTGATAAATCGAATACTTCTGTGAATGGAATATAACTTTTCGGATTAAAACTATTTTTATTTTCATGAGTGTCGTCAGTTCTTATACATATTATTTCTGTTTCTGAAATAGTACTTATGTATACTGTTATAACAATAATATTAGTAAAACATATGGAGTCAGAGTGTTTTTTGTTTTGATCTATAATTATTAATATTGAGCTTTATATTTTTATTCTATCATTCCTTTGTAGCCAATAGTTAATAAAATCCATTCAATTAACGTATTTTAAAATTAAAATTTCTTTTACCATTAGTGAATAGTTGAAAATCCTTTGGCCAGTCAAAAAAGGAGATTTCGAGTAAATGTGGTCTGATAAAAAAAAAAATAAAAATCTAGTTTCATTCATATCTTAATAGTTTATTGATAATTTTGTTTCCTAATCAATTTTTTATTTGCATATATATATATAAGAATAAGAATAAGAAAAGCTTAGCGAACCCGAAGGTTCGATGCTGACACCACCAATCGCTTATTACACACCTCCCTCCACCGTTCGCCGTCCAAACCCAGTCCCTTCAGATCGGCTTTAATGCAATCTTCCCACCTTCGCTTCGGTCTACTCCTCGGACGCTTACCATTCGCCACAGCAAATATTAACCTTTTAGGAATTCTCTCGTTGTAAAGTCCAACAACTTTACAAGCCCATTTGATTCGCCGCGATGAAATTATCTCAATTATATTACTTGGATACAGTTCATGCAATTCGGCGTTGTGTAACCGTCTGAACTCTCCGGTTGACTCATCCTTCTTCGGTCCGAATATTCTACGCAATACTTTATTTTCAAAAACCTTAAGACGCTGCTCATCCCTTAATGTAAGCGGCCAAGTTTCACACCCATAAAGAACTGTAGGCAAGATAATTGTTTTATAGATTCTAATTTTTAAGTTTCGGGACAAGAGGCGAGAACTAAGTAGTTTTGTCACAGAAAAATAACAAGCATTTCCCGCCTTCAGTCTAACCTTAATTTCTTCTTCAATTTCGTTTTTTCTAGTTATCGTAGAACCTAGATACCTAAACTTATCTACCTGATATATATATATACTTATATTTCTATAATATTATTATAAAATAGTGATATAAGATATCTCATTTACCTGAATTAGCTAAATCTTATACAAGTGGCTAGTATGACCCCTACAAATTCCTTATGTCTAACAATGGGAGATTACGGACATGGGGTCACCGATTTAAATGAAACTTTTTTTTGGTGAAACAAGGTCAAAAAATATTAGACTATTGTCTGCTTATTGCCTATGTGTCTTAGGAGCCAAGAAAACAAATATTTTATTACAACTCATTGTAACATTTAGCATTTTTTTACTTTGACTTACCTATTGTAATATTACCATTTATACCTTAATTGGAAGTTGGTAAAAATGGTTGGATAAATTAATGTTGAACAGTTGAAAGACATGCTAATCTAGTTTCATTAGTTCAGTGAAAAGAAAATGGCTCCTCTGTAGTTCTCCAGAAAGGAAAATTCCAATGAGAGAGAACAAAGGATTTTGTTTTGGCAGACAGTTGGTGTTTGGCTGGGGTGAAGAGAGGATGGGAGAAGGGATCCTGGCTCCAGTGGGTAAAACCCAGTAATAGTATTTCAATCTTGGAAGTTGTTGTTGGACAGTCACTAGTTGTCTGTAATTAAAAGAGACAGGATCTCCCAGGAAGATTGAGTTGAGTTCATGAAAGTTTTACCACTTTTTTTTTTTGCTCCAACATAAGATATGCACCGCGGCCTCAAAAAGGCCTATTGTGTGTTGTCCTAAACTCAGTTAAAACAGACCAGACGCCTTTGCGAACCTGTTGATACTTATAGGATCAATCATTTTGCAATGCTTAGGGTCAGTGCTACAATCACATCCAAAGTGAAAGTATCGCAGTCTAGCCAAATTATCACATCCCCACATATACACTGACAGGCAAAAAAATCCACCCACTTGATTTTTTCATGTTTTCATCTAAAAATATTTCTGTTTTGGATTGGTCTATTGTTTTTAATGAATAAATAGGTAATATTTTTGTTTGTTTTCAATTAGGAATGTTAATAAAGAGGACAATAACCCTTAATCCTTAATTCAATGAAATGATTCTAGATTCCAATGTTTACTTTCTATGGAATCAAAATGTTTATTCAGGTATCATTAGTTCAGTGCCGTTTCTTGCAGCACATTTCTTAGTCTCCGGCTTTTAATTTTTTCAATATTAAGTTTAAAAATGCCTCTTAGGGCTGAGGATGTTGTGCGTGGTGTGGCACTTATTGATGATGGACGTTCCATTAGATATGCAGCTAATGCCATCGCAGTTCCATATGAAACTTTACAAGACGTCGTCAGGCGTTTTCGGAAAACTGGTTCTTACAATAGAAGGCCCGGTTCTGGACGGCCTAGGGTAACAGAACCACGGGATGACCGGTTTTTGACTTTGAGAATTTTACGAAAACGACACCTTACCGTTGTTCAAGCGAACGATCGTCGATTTCTTTAAAGATAGGCAACACATGAGGTTCCAAAATCTCATCTACAAAGCGAATGGCCATCAAAGACCCTCCACGAACAACAACCAATTCTTTGCGGCACTCCATTGAAATCCCAGCCCACACCATTAAGGAACCACGTTGGAAAGGTTGGCTCTAGGAAAAATTACAGGCTGCATATCTTTCGTTTCTTCTTCTCCACACCCTTTCACGCCCGTCTGGATATCGAAGAGCAAATCTTGACTCTTCTGTAAAAAGTACAGCACTCCATTCGTCCATAGTCCAATGGGTGTGTTCTCGAGCAAAAGCCAGCCGTGTTACTCTGTGATAATAGGTTTTAGTAACCTGATAAACAAATCACATGAATGATCTTATCGTTTTTAGTCCATCTCTGTCATGGCATGTCATGCATCTTAAGTTAGTATTCGAACGAATTCGTGAATTTGGCCTACAGTTGTCGAAAGAGAAATCCAATAATGATAAGTAGCTTATGTAAATAAAGTTAGTATTATCCAGACCACGGTGGTGTTCACTTCATGCCCCAGTCTTCCTTTTTTTTTTTTATCTTTTGTTGATTATACTCCAACAGTGAACACGGAAAATTCCAAATTTTCAGAGATCAAGACTTCTGACCAAGTAAGTTAGACAGAGTGTTCAGTCTATTTTTTGGGCGCATCCATGCCACCTGTAGAGGGAGAAAATGTATCACTGGAGCCAGAAATCCTTATAGAGCAACAGACTGTTAGGAACACCATCCCGGGGGTCGTATTTTAGCAAATTTTACAAAGCAGAGTTTATAAAAACACACTATTTTTCTAACTAATAATTAACATCTGTTTTTTTAAAAAGCCTTTTATAACAGCTGTTTTGCCTGAAATTAAAAATAATGCCTTTCACATTGTATTCAAACGTAAAATATTCAAACATTCATGATTAACAGATTCCCAAACATCCTCCCACCTTGAGGAGTTTATAACTACTCAACAAACATTTTCTAGAAATAATTACAAACAAATCATCAAAACATAACCAGCAAGTAAAACTCGAATTCTCTCTAACTGATATGGACTACAAAAGGATTCAAATAAACCGTGTAGGCATTCGCACATTTCTGCCACATCGTGTTTATAATAAGCGATCACCTTTTTTCTTCAGTTCTTTGTTCTCTTAGAAGGCCGGAATTCGTTCCTCTGTAGAACCTTCGCATTCATAAGTTGTCTCAGTTGTACTACTGTGAATCTCCAAAGGATAGATACAATGAATGGGTCTGTTGATTCTCCCATTAGCCCTGTGAACAGTAACTAATCTATATTGTCCATCTTGACCAGGAATCATTCGTTCTATTACTTCTAAAGGCCAATTGATTCTTTTTGTATTATCATATGCAATAAGAACTTCCTCTCTAGAGCTGGTTCAAGGGTATTTTTATTCTTCTTGGAAGATTAAAAGAAGAGGCTTCCTAAATATTCAGCTCTAAATCGTTTGCGTAATTCTTCTTTTAGCTTATTGCGATATTTCAATCTTCTAACAAGTTTCGACTTCTCAATTTGGTCCTTATCTGGAACTCCACTTTCTTCAATTTCTTGAAGAAACATCTTTGGAGAGATGTTTATAGGAGAGATATGATCCGTCGCGATATCAGAAACCTATGTGATTGGTCTTGAATTAACCACACTTTCGCATTCACAGATTACTATATACAGTTCTTCAGCGGTTAAACATGCTTTTCCTAATATCTTCCTCAATAAGACCTTGATCAGGCCAACTAAACGTTCCCAAAATCTCCCCACCCCCCAAGCTGCATCTGGTGGGTTGAAACGCCATTCTATTTTTCTAATAGAACTGCAAGCAGTGATCTGTTTCCAATCAACCCTTTTTAGTAGAAAATCCATTCCTTGGAAATTTGTTCCATTGTCACTGTATATGAAGTTCGGTCTCCCACGGTGTGCAATAAATCTTCTGAGACTCATCATAAATTGTTCAGTCAATAAAGAGAAAACAAGTTCCAGATGAATCGCCCGATTGGCTGCACAAGTAAGTATATAAATCCACACCTTTTCTCCATTTCTTAAATACTCTCGTACTCTATTTTCTGGTAATGGTGGCAAGTTTTCTTCGAATTTTCGGGAGTTAAAATGTTGACAAACAGCACATTTCTTCAGTGCTCTTCTGATAGCTTGTCTACCTCGTACTATCCAGTATTTCTCCCTTAAATAGTTTGAGATGACAGTTACGTATATGTTCCTCTAAAATCAACTTTTCAACATGGTGATGATCACCAGGAAGAATAATCAGAGCTTGAAAGTCTTCTGTATCTTGTCTTGTCCATAGTTTGGTTGTAAGTCTCTTTGTAACTAATGAATCAACAAATGTTTTTAATCTTGATAGTCATTTATTTCCTTCTCCTGAAAATGATTCTAGCTGTACCAATCGTAGCAACCTGATCTCGGCAGCT